ATAGAGAGAGAGAGTTTGTGTGTACTGTGTGTAAAAATGGGCTATATCTTCAGCTCCTCATGTTGAATATATAGTCGGGTCAAAAACCAACTAACCAACCCACAAATCCAAATGATCCACGTGTCATTACACTGAGTGGTTAACAAAAGTGAGCCGTAATCCGGTAAATATGTAAATACACATTTCTATCCGCTTTCACTAAATCTTATTACAAAATAAAACCATCACAAGTTACAAATAACACCGTGCAAAATAACATGATATACAGACAAAAAACAAATATAAAATATAAAATGTGACTAGTAAATATTAAAGTTTGCACATTTAAAAACCTTTACATATTTTAACATTACCTTTAACCCATGATAGATAACAAAAATACAAAATAAGTTTCTAAAAGGTTTCTTCATTAATATAAAATACAATTTCTGAAGGGTTTCTTCACTAATATATTGTTGCAAAAATAGTAATTATACATGTATAGGTTAATTATATACACACATGCATACACAAACCAAATTATATGCATACACAAACTAAATTATATATAAGCACATGCATACTCAAAAAAGGTTTGTGTATTTCATATTTAATATATTTTTCGATATCATATAAACTTCTCAAAATTTTTATGTTAAGGTCCGATATTCAAAATTTTAATGAAGGTTTGATATTCCATATTGTCTATCGTACCATATATCAATCAACAAAAATTATTGAAATGCTAGGATCGTGTTATACATAGTTGGTATTTAAGGGGTTCTTTCTTTCATTTTCTCAATTAAGTTTTATGTATGTAAAATGGTTGAGTGGTAATAATATTAGTGCCGATAAAATAATATATACATAAGATATGCATTTAAAAAAAAACTAAATTAACCATTTTAATGAAACTAACAATCATTTCACGGTTACATTCCAAAAAAATTCATAATATTCATCAATTTTAATATCGATCGTATATATAAGATTTTTTTTTCTAGATTAAATAAACAGTTTAAATAAGACTAAAAACTCATTTCATCATAGCGTTCCAAAATAAATTCATAATATTCATTAATTTTAATAATAATTTTAATAATATTTATCAACTTCAAAGAGATGAAAGGGTGAAATAGAAAATAGATAAATAATAATCTTAATATATTAAGCTATATTTTTGGCTTAACTCATCAAATCATCATACATGGCCATTCTAAAAAAAATTCTCTCTAATAAATCAAAATCTTTTTGTCACATGTCCTCTTCTCCTTCATTTTGACATATGATATTTTCTAGAATTTTTGAATTTCCTATTTTCCACTTATGATTTTATTGTATTTTTCTTTTTATTAAATTAAAATTCCACATTTAATATGTAAGGTATTATATATGTAATGTATTTATTAGAAGGAGTTTATATATGTAATGTATTCAATCTATTAAAGTCTCATTAATTTTAATAATTCAAAAATTTTCTCATTTTTCTTATAAATTCAAACTTCTAAAATTATTAAAATTTTATATTTATTTTTTTTTTTAAATAAACCCATGTAATACATGAGTATCACACCTAGTACCCATATAAACCTATTCAGATTAAATACTTAACCCATTAAACCAATTGAACAATAATAATAATTACTACTAATATAAATAATAATAAATAAATATAAAATAAAAACTAACACAACAAGTCTTTTTTAAAAGAGAAATTAAATATCCTCTTACTAATTTTTCTTACCCATTTTCCTACCACTTTAGATACTAACAAGTAATTAAAATTTATTAGTTTTACTAAATATGACAAATGTCATAATTTAAGATTATAAGAAGATGTAAGAGAAAAAAATAAAATAAAAGGATATTTCATTCTTTTTTATAGTAACACCAATGCATCAATTATTAACTCTACATAGTTCAGAACTTAAAGATTAATCAACCGTCCCAAATTTTCTTGCATGAATGTTTGATTCCATTGTATTGAAATGATTATTGCAATATTCAAGAAACTTATAATAACATAATACACATAATCAAAATCAAATTTATGTAAAACTTAGCTATTACAACTCAACATGCCTACATCATCCCTTCTTCTAGGTTATCTCTCCTTTCTAAAATCACCGACTTACGACGATTTTTGATAACTCCTTACTTGATTTCCTTCCATATTTGCCCCTACTCTTGCTAAACAAACTCTTATATTTCACCATAACCCCCTCCTTCTCTTCAACTAAACTTAACTTCTCATACGACTCCGCCACCCTTTCCACTATAACTTTATCCGTACATTTCCGATTATACCCTTCAAGCTCCTCAAAAAGCTTCACAACCTCTTTCCACATCTCATTTCGATAATACACATACACCATAATTTCACATACTTTCCAAGGTACCAATTCCACATTCCTACCAAGTTTCCTACCCCACAACCTCTTTGCCTCTTCTACTCTATTATCCATATCTAATGCCCTTATTAATTGTCCATATGTCCCAATTGTTGTCCCATGTCCTTTACTTAACATCCATTTTATAACTTGTACAACTTTATGCCATTTTTCTTTTTTTTCGAGAGTCAACAATGCGGTTTTGACTCGTCCGATTGGGAACTCGTGTTCCTCCGCAACCCACGCGTCGAGGGTACCGTAGACCGCTTCTTTTGTGTTCTCAAGGTCAACAAGTTTGCTTACAAGAACAGTAATTTTGTCCTTTTTGGACACGTTTTGGAATCTTTGAAGAATTGGTGTTTGTGTTTGATCTTGTGTGCTTGTGGTTTGACTAAAGGGCGAGATTGGTATTTTGGATATACCGAGTCGACTCGTTGGTTTAATGAGACAGGTTATTGCTTTAGACCTCAACATTGCGAGAGAGAAAATTGTGTCTTAATTCAATACCTTTAAAAATGAGTTATTTTGAACACTTTGAAGATGTGAATCCCTGTAGATATAAATGAAAACATGTAGAATCAATTAAAAAAAGGGATTGTGTGTTAGTATAGATAGGATCTTCACTGGTTAATATATGAGAATTAGGTTTTCCACTAAACCCTAATTATAAAGGAAAGAATCCAAACACATAAGCCCACTAATTTAAAAACTCCTTACAGTTTACAACATTAATGATTTGTTAAAATCGAGCTGAAAACATGATTACCCAATTCATACATTTAAAGATCAAAGTAGGCAGTTTTTCTCGATTTTTTAACACGGAAAAGTTTCAGATTTGTTACGTTTTCTATATGTCATTGATTTCTACAGTATGATGCACAATAAGAAGAATTCATTAATTTTGATATACAAACGCGGAAATTTTAGGGATTGGGGAGTAATTACAAGGTTCAATTATCAATTTGAACTAAGAAAATACTGTAAGGTTCAATAGGCATCAAAAGCATCAAATTTTACAGGTATGTGATGAAGTAAGAGCTTACTCTTCATATTCTATCAGAGACAGGAATGGCTTCGTTACACGACGGTGTAGGAATGGACGATGTATCCTCCGTATGATGGCGGCGAGTAGTCCAGCAACGGCGTGGGCGGCGGATACGCTCGAAGGAGCTTTTCTACTTTCTAGTATAACCGTTCGACGTGAAGAATCGACATAGCCGATCCAGAACTGGAGGATAAACTTGGCCCAAGATAAGTGGGTAGCCCATAGTTCCATGATAGCCCATACAGAAGAAATAAAGGAAGTTCCAGATATATCATTAGTTTTGCTTGTTATTTCTACAATGCGTCCCATTATCTTCTATTCTTTCATAATGCATTTGGGATTGTCTATAAATAGGCTAAGTTTTTTTTTTTTTTTTTTTTTTTTTACTCCATTTTAAATATCAATATCAACTGCTAAACATTCTTCTAAGTATTGAAGTCCTCTTTGTATACTTGTTCTCGATATTATCTACAATTGCTTCATGCCTCTTCAAAGTATTATTGTACGGCTTACCTAAGCCTTGGGTTGAAATTTTGTATCATTAACAATTAGTTAATGTTAATGATAAGAAAAGGTGCAAGATAAGTAAATACTTGGACAGTGAGAAAAACATATACAATGATCCAAATCAAGGAGAAACTCACGACCTCATATAAATACTTTCGGTGAAGCAATGGAGCCTCACATCTCCTAACTTGAGTTTTTAGTCAATGGACTCAAGGTACACATTGTAAATATGGAAATGATAATCAAGATGCTTATCTAAGAGATCATTGAGATCTCAACAACCACCAAGTCCATAACATACACGGGGAAGAATAAATGATATTTAAGCGATCAACAAGCCAAGAAATAATAATGAAAACTATGGCGCTCCTTTTCCATGTTTGAAGGTCCCTAAAATTGAGATGTTCAGTGACACAAGAATGCCATCATGGCGAAGAAAATTTTCTTTGAACTCAAGCAATATGTCAAGGTTATATGTATCATACATATGCCACTAAGATTATCGATGCCCAACATTCCTAAAACACTCAACCCAACTATGTTGGAGAAGGAAACATATTAACCAAGTGAAAGGTATGTGTAATATCGATATGAAGGATCAGTTTAATTTTAAGTTACAGAAACACTTCATACCCCCATAATATCGAGCTAAAAGCAAAGAGAAACTTCACTAATCCGTAAAAGTACTAATTTGGCATATATCCTAGAGTTCACTAGCATTATATTGGAGCTCGATGATATGCCATTGGGGATGCTATATTTTATTTTAAATATAAACAAAAAGATAAGGCATAATTGGAGTTATATTGACACAAAGTGCACATCCTCCACGATTTCAACGTAGTAGCCAAATTGCTTATCAATTACACTACATAGTAAAGGATAATATGAACACAGATTGAAGAAGGAAACAAGTGGACTCCTCTTCTAAACGCTACAAATTCATTCAAACCCATCAAATCCGCCAAAGCATCTTTTATATGTAGCCAGATGCATTTTACACAATGTTTCCAAGACACATATAAGTCTAAGTCGTCAACTTCGTGCTTCATATGTAATGAGAGGAACCAGACAAAAAAATAATCCACAAAATAAAGCCACTAATAAATACATGGGCCTATTGGGTTATATACTTGATTGAAACCGAAAAAAAAATAATAAATAGATGGACTAATTTGTTATTTATTAGTAAATAATGAATTCCCTAAAAACTATGGAGAATGACCTGCAATAAAGTATCGAAGCTTGAATTATGGTATTATTACCATAATTGAGCAAACTTTGAGACAAACAAAACTCCTAGGGTTTATGCATTATATAAGGCATTGAATCCTTTGTGCCTTATAACTGTAATTTAGATTTAACCTCCTTTCCCCACCTCTCTTTTTTGGTGGCGCAACTAATCTCTTACAAGCATATTTTGATTTTTCTTGGCACATAACAATAAGGAACTTGAGGATCTTGCTTGTTTGAAGTCAAAGGGTGGATGTTATAAAGAGGCTCTACTTTGAGTCTTTGAAATTCTTCTTGACATCATCTAATAGTTATTTTACTAACCTTTCTTGGTGTAGTCATGATGTTTTTAATAAATTCACATCGTTGCTTCTTGTTTTATTATACTTATAACTGCCATCATGATTGTGACAACCCGAAATTTCTATTATATACAACCATTCGACTCAATAGAACTCAGAACAGTTTCTGCTAACTTTCAAGCTTTTTGGAATAAGTTTGAGTGTTTTAAAGTTAGTACTTCAGGAGATAACAGGAGGGAGGATGCCCTAGG